GATATGGATGACCAACAGTTCTAATACCATTTTTTTTTTAAAGACTGGCTTTTCTCTATTGAATTTCCTTTATACCTCTGTCAAAAATATAATGGTCTTATTTATGTGGACCTATTTTTAGACTCTATTTTATTGACTTATGTGTCTATCCTTTTGTCAGTCCTGTTGGGTTTTAAATAATTAAAAACTATTTGTTATACCCATATTATACAAATAATAGTAACAACTATCACTGGGAAGACATTTAATTACCTCTTCGTAATACACTGCTGCCATTTCAAAGTTCTCATTTACTTCTGCTTCAAATGCAAAGAGTCGAAGCTGTTCACTGCTTGTATAAATGGTTGAAACAGCACCTTGGATATCATCTGGCATGGTCTTGTCAACATCAAGATGTTAAACAAAACAAAGCAATGACAAGTAGAGAGTCTTATAAGAATAAACTAGACGTGAGACCCCAGTTATGAGGTTGAAAATGCTATTGGGGTTTCTTATAGTCTTGCCAATATAGTAAGAGTGAGAATGAACCAAGAGAGAAATATCAAGGGTATCAAGAAATATCAAGAAAGAGAAGTTCAGGTATCTGAATACCAACAATCTAAGCTCACAGAAGTAAGTAAAAATTAATTTGAGCAGAACTGTTCTCCTCAACCTTCAGGGAAGTCAAAATCTCTAAGTAAGCCTCCTTCTACCTCAAACAACTTCCTATATTTTCTCTAGTGTACGGGACAAATATTATCATTTCTAGGTGCCATGACATGAAGAAGGTTGGAGAGCACTAGCGAGAGTCTTCAAACATCAAAAAAACCCAGGAGATTAAGGGTGAAGCTTTGGAAGTTGCTTCTGTACTTTTAGCGAGATATGTAAGCAAATCCCAAAAAGGACACATTTTAGAAATAGCCAGAATGGTAGGAGAAAACCCAGAAAAATATTATACCCTATGTACCCATTCAGGAAAGCAGTTCTGGTATAATAAGTAATCTCCTGGATCAGAAGCTATTGCCAAGGAAGATTGCCCTAAATTCTTTAATTAGAAGTAAAAAAATTATCAGTAACATTAACAACTGGAGTTGTTAAGGGATGTAGAGAGTAAAGCTAAATTTGACATGGGCCAAAGAGAGCTCCTGATCATGGATTAATGCCTCTGTTGTTATTTTTAATTTTGATGATCTTGACCTCCAAATCCGTCCAGCAACACACTTCATTGCCCAAACCAGAAATACTCTACCTCTAATATCCCACTCCCAGAATCTGCGTTACAAGCCTTCAGTCTTTTTGTCATCTTATCCCCTGAAAACTGCTCTCTGATTTCATTTCCTTCATTTCCAATATGCCTACCTTTCCCAATGGGTAAGCCTGGACCTCATGACCACCCACTCATACTACTCTCCCATCAGCACACTCAGGTTCCAGGCATCCTTGTCCTTCTCCTGCACTTGGTCTGAAGACTCCCAAATTAAAACAATCCTACTATCTGACTTCTTCATTCTTAGACAAGAGCTGCTAACAGGTCCTGAGGAAAACTGCATACATAAAGAAATATTTGAGCTGCCACAGATTCTTTGGCATTCAGCCTTAGCCGAAGGCCTTTCATACTCTCCAAAATCTATGTAGTTGTCCTTGTTCAACAACATATTCCATTATGTGATGATGCAGTATCTAAATTTTCTTCTCTTTCTTCAGGCTTTTTATTCAAACATTATTCTCTTCACTGTCAGAAAAGACATCACTTCACAGAGTAAATGGAAATCATTAGGCCAGAAATCCCTCAACTTATGAACCCCACATTGGAAGAGTTTATTTCTGCATCCATTGTATCTCTTTCTTTTCAGTCTGAGGAAGAAGCATCACATCCTTCTCTGTTCTTGATCCTTTCCCACTTGTATATACCCTGGGATTGCCATCAATTATTCTCTTTCCTTCTATTTTCAATTTCTTCCCATCTGCTGACTCCTTTTCCCAAACCTATGGACATGCTAAAGGCATCTCCAGCTTAAAAAGAAAATCTTTATAATTTCTAGCTTCTACTTCCCCCCTCCTTCCTTTCATCTTCCAACTTCTTGAATTTATATTCACCTGCTTCCTAATCACTCATTTACTCCATAATTCATTATAATTTGAATCCATTCCATTAGCTCACTGATATTACTATGTAAAGTTAATAATCTCCTTATTTTCAGATTCAATGAAAACTTTTCAAATTTTGTGTTTTTCCCCCCAGTTTTATTGAGATATAATTGACATCCATCATTGTGTAAGTTTAAGTCATACAGCATAATGGTTTGACAGACATATATTGTAAAATAATTACCACAATAAGTTTAGTTAGTATGCATCATCTCAAATGGACACAATAAAAAGAAAAAAAAATTTTTTTCTTGTGATAAGAACTCTTAGGATTTACTCTCTTAACAACTTTCACATATACCATACAACAGTGTTAACTCTAGTCATCATGCTATACATTACATCCCTAGTACTTGTTTATCTTGTAACTCAAGGTTTATATCTTTTGATCACCTTGTTCCAATTCCCCCTCCCCATGAACTACTAGGAATATTTGACATTGTTGACTACTTTTTCTTCTTAAAATTCTCTTCCCTTAGCTTCTGTGATACCACTGTCTTCTGGCTCTTCTGCCTTTTTAACAATTCACTTATCTCCTTTATTAATTCTTTTACTCATCCATCCCTTAAATGCTGGTGTTTGATAGGGTTCCACTGACAGCTCACTTCTCTCTCATGTTTTTCTCAGCATCTTCATCTATGACCATAGTTTAACTAGCACCTACAGGCATATCATCTTTTATTGCACTTTACAGATATTGTTTTTTGTTTTTTGTTTTACAAATTGAAGGTTTGTGGTAACTCTGTGTCGAGCAAGTCTATCGGTGCCATTTTCTAATAGCATTTGCTCACTTTGTGTCTCTGTGTCACAGTTGGGTAATTGTCACAGTAATTCAAGCTTTTTCATTGTTAATTATATTTGTTATGGTGATCTGTGATCTGAGGTTAGGACTCACTGAAATCTCAATGATGGTTAGCATTTTTTAGCAATACAATATTTTTAACTTAGGTTTGTACATTGTTTTTCTAGACATAATGCTATTGCACACATAATAGACTACAGTATAGTGTAAACTTTATATACACTGGGAAACCAAAAAATTCATTTGACTTGCTTTATTGTGATATTTGCTTTACTGTGGTGGTCTGGAACCAAACTGTCAATATCTCCAAGGTATGCCTATATATACTCATGGCTCCCCAAATCTCATCTACAGTTCAGATCTCTCTCTTGAGAAAAACCTTATAAGAACCAATGTTCAAAAGTGATTTCAACATCACCTGCCTCCTACCAAATTCACTTGTGTTGTATTTCTTGTCCTGGTTAATGGGTCTACCAGCTACCCAGTCACTGAGCCCTAAACTTAAGAATCTTTGACCCCTTTATTACTACATAATAACCAGTTAACACCACCAGTTTCACCACATCTAACCCACCTGACATACTGCTATCAGAGTGTTTTTCATAAAATGTGGATCTGACCATATTATTCCACTTATAAAATAATTAAATTTATTGCTTCCAAATGCTAATAAGGGAAAGAGTCAAAACTTCTTTGTGTGGCATATAAGGCTTCCAACCACATTCTCAATCCCCCTACCTGGAACTGATCCCTGGCTTCACCTCCTACTTCTATGTCCCTTAACCACTTCAACCTCTGCTCCTAAACTATATGCAGTTTCTGTATATGCCATACACTTCCAATCTTCCAAGCTTTTGTGATGTTCCCTATGACTCAAATGCTCTGAAACATCTATCTGGAGAACTTTTTAGCCTTCAGGCTCAAGACACAGCTCTTCTGTGAATCCTTTCCTGACAGGTCTCAGGGTGAAGTTGATCACTCTTTCTTTAGGCATCCCCTAACCTGCTCTACCATGGACACATCCCTACCACAGCACTTACCTAGCCCTACTGCACTTATTTGTATTTGATGTCTCTCTCCTCTACTAGACAGGGATTCCTTGGGAAACAACACAACAGTAAATACTATCTCATGCTCAATTCTCAAGGCAATTTATCCAAATCATCTGTGCCCAAGGTGGGATTGTTTTCTTAATCCTAGGATATCAGATACTCCTCACCTTCCTCTTCCAGAAAAGTAATGGTGACAGAGAAGAAAACAACAGTAAAGGAAAAAAACATAGAATAGAGGGCTTGAGGAAGCATGGCTACTTAGAGACTACCAAGGGGACAAAAAGACTTTGATTTTTGTCATTGTTTTCAAATAAACCACAACTGTATACATTCAAAAATGAGCAAATGAAGACAAGATGCAAGCTGTGCAAATATAGATAGAAACAGACAAATGGGAGAAGAGCAGGCTATCAGTCAAATAGAAAAGGCCTGTTTAGGGGCATCTGGGTGGCTCAGTGGGTTAAGTGTCTGACTCTTGATTTGGGCTCAGGTCATGATCTCAGGGTTGTGAGATCGAGCCCTGTGTGGGGCTCCGCAATGTGCAGGGAGCCTGCTTGGGAGTCTCTTCTCTCCTCCTCTCCCTCTGCCCCTACTCACCCACCTCTCTGAAAAAAAAAAAAAAAGAAAAGACATGTTTGAAGTGTCATTGTCATTCAGGTATAATATCTGAAAGCTCATAATGTTTCTTAGTTTTGATTGCCAATCATGGAGAGCAAACTGAGAATTGCACACATTCACAGAATAAGTAGATGATTTTTGTTTTATAATTTAATTAGCTGATTTTATATATTTCTTTCATCCATCACATTTATGACAGTTATGAAAGTTATTATGCCAGGAAGTTGAATTATTCTCTCTTGTTCTCCCCAAAATTAGTTTTATAATTTAGGCAGTTTCTTATTCACTTTTGTCAGTGCCTAGCACAGAGTAGACACCTCATAAATGTTTGCTGAATGAAGGAAGAAAGGAAGCAAGGAAGGAAGGAATCATTCAGAGACCCTGATGTCCTACAGAGAAAAGTAAGGGCTCTTAGTTCTTGAGCACCTACCTGGTTTAAGGCCACATGCATCTGATCCACCAAGAACACATAGAGCTCACTAATAAATGTCTGCAGTTCCTCCTGGCTTTCAAATGATGTCGTCTTCAAATACTTCTCTCTCACAATCTTTACTACGGCATGCTGTAAGAGACATAGATCATCCATTTGATTATAAAGTCCAGCACCATGCTGACAACACAGGTTTCCCTTGAGCTTCTTTCTGGTCTAAGGCCCATCAGAACTTCAGAAAATGATTGATTTCTCCCTTGGTAACTGCTAGAATGTCAGGTCTCTGATTTTCCACCAATCAACATACTCTGCATGACTTCTTTTCTTGACATCATCTCTAGTATGGTCAATGCAGAACTCATATCATTTGAAGAGAGCCATAGAGCTAAAGAAGACCTCTAGGTTTATGCATTACATCTCTCATGGTGACCACATGATACAAGAGGAAAAGGCCTGATTTGATAGTCTGGAGAATGGGATTCTAGTTCTAATCCTGCCACTGTACCACCTCAAAAATCAAAGTTACTACCTCATTTTCCTCATTTGTTATATGGATGTGTATTCTGGTCTTACTATCTTACTTCAGAAGATGATTGAGAAGCCAAAGAAAGATAACAGGTAGGTGGTGAAGCTTAAATTGCTGTACAAATAACATATTGCTATAGCCATGACAGCTCCCCCACCCCAGCTAAAATTATTGCCAGGTTTTGTACTAAGCACTTTCCATGCATCATATTATTTAATTCTTATAATGACCCCATGTGATAGTATTAGTATTATTGCTCATAGTTACACAAAGAAATTAAAGCTCAGAGAGGTAAAGTTATTTGACCATCCAGCTAGTAATGGTAGAACCAGGAATCAAACTAAGTTGTGACTATGCCACCTACTGAGAAGAGCTCCTAACCTCCATGAGCATCAGTTGTTTTTCACCCTATTATTTCCATGTGCTTTCTTTGTATCTGTTAAGTACAGTACAGGACACATAGTAAATGTGCACAGACAGGCAATCTGGTATAGCAGTTAAGAATGTGAAATTCTGGAGCAAGAAGGCTGCCTGAATTTGAGTCCCATCTTTAACCTTTACTAGTTCTATGACCTTAGGGAAATTACTTAACCAATTAATATTGCATTTCTCCACCTGTAAAATGAGGAATATCTACCTCATAGGGTTATTGTTAGGATTAAATTAGTAAAATACAAAACATTTAAAAATTTGTCTGGTGGGGTGCCTGGGTGGCTCAGTCATTAAGCGTCTGCCTTTGGCTCAGGTCATGGTCCCAGGGTCCTGGGATCGAGCCCCACATTGGGCTCCCTGCTCGGTGGGAGGCCTGCTTCTCCCTCTCCCACTCCCCCTGCTTGTGTTCCCTCTCTTGCTGTGTCTCTCTCTGTCAAATAAATTTTAAAAAATTTGTCTGGTGTACAGCAAACACTCAATAAATGTTAATCATTATTATGTAGGAAATTATTATTAAGTAAATATTTCTCAAATCTTAGTGATTCTGTGGACTATAGAAAGGTAATGGAAGACAGATAATTAGTCATGGAATTAGTACCAGGCACAGAGTTTCTGCCTGCTACAGTAACATGAAAGCTGGCTCAAAATCTGGCCTAGCCTCAAGTAAAGACTTAGTTTCTTAAAAGCTCACACTTGGAATGGATACTTAACCATTCCAAGGCTTTCCACAAGTGGAGCTTCTCATATTCCATCAGACAGAACATAACTCTTGGCACCAACAGCAAGAATGGTGGAAGCGTAGCTGAACATGACCAGAGAACAACTAATAATTAGGAATGTAGAGAAGATGCTTCATAAAAATCCACTGAACAATTAAAGGAATATTTACCTTGAGTTGTTCTTTGAAAGCGAAGTATTTTCCAGAGCAGTTAAGTTCATAGTTGAGCAGGCACTTCTGCTCCTCCACAGTTTCACTATCCATATCACTCCCCAGTTTGGCCACCTGTTTTCCAAACATCCTATGATACTCATCCAGAATAGCTCTAGATATATTCTTGATCTGCATGTGGTAGTCACTCACCGCCTAGAAAAATACAAAATGTCTGGTAAAGAGGCCTCGAAGAGATCAAGATATATAATGGAACTCTGAAACTGGATTGGGTTTTATATTCCATAATGTTTTAGGTAAAAATTGCCCTTTACTTTTCAGGTCAGAGACTACCAGCCAAAGGATTAAACACTATTCACTATTCATTGTATGTCACTGGTCACAAACAGAACCAGGAAGAGAAATATGAGAAGCTACAATTTCTCACCCCTTCTAGAAAACATACTGAAGAGTCCATGCCTTATTTTCAAATGGGTGCACTCAACACCTTATTACTTATAGTTTCATCTTGGCTTTGGCACTTGCCTTCTGAGCTCCTCCTGTCCGACGGGCAAGAGGTGGCCTTGGAGGAATCATTTCCTTGACCCTGTACCAGGAAAAAATGACAAAAACAAAAACAAATTTTATTATCTGCAGATTTATGTTCTCTTATTCCTACTTCTGAAGGGCCTGTATTGGAGTATCACACTTGAGCACTGCAATTCTCTCATGTAAAAGCCTAGATGTGAACCATACAACAGTATACAGCTATGAACTAGATAGGAAAGAAGCCAGGAAGCAGCTACTCGAAAAGTAGCGAAGTTGTACTTTGCGTTAATTTGAGCCCTGGTTTTACTCTTACATATTTTTTTAAAACTGCTATTGCACTCAAAAGACAGCTTGACTTGGGAGTTGGCAAGAAACAGATGTTATGATTTTAGGTGCACCCTGTAGAGTCTCTGAAAGAATGAAGTTTTGGAAATCTAAATGGTACAGGCAAGTGAATGCTTTTCTTTCCTCTCCATCTAGGATAAAAAGTGTCCTCTTGATACACATAATTTATGACTGCATTAAATTACAATAATGATATCAGATGTTGTGCTGATTAAGAGAATATATTTTGTTACTGTCAACCTACTTATGCCAAAACTTCTACCTTCCATTTTCAGGATACCTTATAAAAACTAGAGGAAATTAAATTCTTAGCTCTTCTTCCTTATAGTTGCAGATTCCTGCTGAAGTATATAGTACTGCCTTAAAGTTTACAATCAAATTCACAAATTCAGTTTTCCTTTAATAGGTCTTATGTAATTGTATACCTCCGTTCATTGTTTCTAATTTTAATTTTATTTATTTTAATAGGTAATATATCCTACGATTCAAAACTTATGAGGTATAAAACAATATATACTAAATTGTCTCCTTGTCATTGAGCTTGTTGACAATCTTGTTGTCCAGTCACCAATTTCCTCTCCAGAGACAATGTTACTTACTCACTCATTCAAAATATATACTGAGTGTCTACCATCCATCAGGCACTTTTCTAAGTATTGGGGATAGAGCATTAAACAAATTAGGACAAAAATTCCTGCCTTCATGGAGCTTATATGCTAGTGGGGAAAGAAAGACAATAATTAAGATAAATATGTTAGTGATATGTGCCATGGAGAAAAATAATGCAGGAAGGCAGAAAGACTATGTTGGGGACTAAGGTGGTGAAGTAGGGAAACACATTTCATCAAGACACTTACTTGGATGGTAACATTTGAGTAAAGACCTCAGGGAAGTGAGGAAGCAAGTTGTGTAGATATCTGGGATAAGGAAAATACAGGCAAGAATCTATACATCCAAGAAGCATAACAATTTCCAAGCAGAATAAACTTGAAGAGATCTATACTAAGACACGTTGTAATCAAATTGTCAGAAGCCAAAGACAAGAGAAAAACTCAAAAAGCAGTGAGAGGAGTGACTTGTCACATAAGATAAACAGATAATTTCAATAATGTCAATAAGAATAACACCAGCCATAGAGGCCAGGAAGTACTAGGGTAACATATTTAAAGTTTTGGAAGAAAAAAAATGCCAACCAAAAACTATATACAGCAGATTACCCTTCAAGAATGAAGAAAAAATTAACAAAATAAACAAAAACTAAGAGTCTATTAGTAAGATCTAATCTATAAGAAATGCTAAAGGGAGCCCTTCAGGCTGAAATGAAAGGACACTAGTCAGTAACTGGAAGGTAACAGAAGAAATAAGGAACACTGGTAAAGGTAAATATGAAAGCCATTATTATTGTACTTTTGGTTTGTAACTCCTGTTTACTTGTTTTTAGAAGTTAAATGCATAAAATAGTAGTTAGAAATCTTTGCTAATGGGCACAAAAATGTATAAAAATGTAATCTGTGACAGTAGCACCTGGGTGGTTCAGTTTGTTCAGTGTCTGACTCTTGATTTTGGCTCAGGTCATGATCTCAGGGTGGTGAAATCAAGCCTCCTGTCTGGCTCTGCAGGAACATTACTCCCCATTTTATAGAGATAAAAAGAATAATAAGGGAATATCATGGACAATTATATATCAACAAAGTGGATAACCTAGATGAAACGGACAATTTTCTAGAAACACAATCAAAGCACTATGGTACAATAAAAAAACCGTTTTTAAAAATTACATTTATTTATATGTGACATGGGTGTGTATGTTTGTGGTGTATGTGTATAATACAGAAACTTTACAATAATTCCAGAAGGATAAATACCAGTTTTTTTAAAGTAGCTATCACTGGGTGAGTAGAAATCTGAGTGTTTTTATATACTTGCTGATATCAATTTTCTCCTAATCTTGATTTTTTTTATAATGAGCATATACTGCTTTTGTAATAAGAAAACAACAGTAACAAAAGAAATTTCATCTGAGGAAAAAAACTGGAAAACTTTCTGCTACTTAGCCTAGGAAAATTATATTTATGGGGACAGTCTGAATTCCTTTTATATATACCTAAAATGTGTTTGTAAAACAAGTATAAGAACCATTTCTACATACCTTCTGGCTAGCTCCTCTGGCATTCGCTGTGGAACCAAGGCTCTGTCCAGCTGAATCTCCAACACAATGTATGTCCCTGCTTCTACATATTGCTGTAAAGATATTTTTCTCTAATTTATTCTTTCCATTAAAAACAGATATTTATGAACAAATTTTAGTAACATAAGAAAACATTCACATGTAAGAAAACTGCATATACAACTATATGTATATAGCATGATCCTGACCGTCAAAATATTTTTAATATAGAAAAATAACTGGAAAGAAAATAGTAACAGTGGTTATCTCTTGCAGAAAAGCATTTTCAGTTTTATTCTTGGAAACTTTTATCTCAGCTGAAGCACTGTTTAACTTGTTCATGCTTTTCTTGGAACTGTTTTAAGTGAATGCTATTCCTTCTGCCACCGCACCTTCCAAGTCCTGTGGAAATATTCACATAACATTCTGATATTCCCACTCACAGCATCCACATCACCATCTACCAACTGCAACCTGATGGACATTTCTACCCAGAATTTTGCCAGCATCCTAAATACAACATGTCCCAAATTGAACTTATCATTTCCCTTATATTGACCTCTCTTTTGACTTTTCTCTTAATGATTTTGTCATCCTTCTAGAAGGTAAGGCTTGAAACCTGAGTTAACTTTAGCTTTTCTTCCTCAGCACCCTCAAACTTCCCAATTCCAGATATTGCCTCTTCAAGTTTCTTTCTTTACTACATCTTCTCTAAATCAAACTGGCACTAACACTCATCTGTATTATAATAAGTACCTATAAACTGATATTTGAAGCCCCCTCCCCAATTTCCTTCTCTTTTTCACATCCTTGTAAGAGTTCTGCCCTGAAATACATATAAGGTCTTATTTCCACATAACTTAAAAACCTTTCATGTGAGTCTCCCAGATGAAGCTCAAGAGTCCCTCATCACCTATATAATGAAGGCCAAACTTTTTAGCAAGGCTTTCAACAACAAGCCTTTCTACAACTCAGTGCAGCCTCTCCTTTCTCACCTCCTTCTACAATCTCTCCTTTCTTTTCATTTCTCTACTCCATACACTAAATTAAGTGATATACTCCAAATTCTGCTACCTTCTTTGTGCCTTGACTCAAGTTATTCCCCGGCCCTGAAATGCCTACTCCCTCATCTTCATCTGGCAAATTGTTCTCTTAATCTTTCACTACTTAGTGCAGATGCCACCTCTTCCATGTAGCCTTCTGAGACTACCCCATCCTAGGAGTGATTAATCTGTCTTCTCTGAGCCCTCACAGCCCTTTTATTTGTACCTCTATTATAGCATTCATCAAAATTCTGTATTATGGTTAGTTATGTACCGATCTATTTCACCCACCAGACTACTGAGTGTCCTGAATGCAGATGAGTAAATGCTGCAGATCATAAATCTTTGCATTCCTCCTAGTGCATAATATAGGAGAATTAATAAAAGACATAAACTTGTAATGTTAGAAAGGACCTTAAAGTTAATTTGGTACTACCTGCTCATTTTAGAGAGTCTCAACAAGACAAAGAAATTTACCCAAAGTCATAAGCTAGTCATGGCAAATATGGGACAGTAACTAAGATAATGAGCATTTTTCACAATATCATACTCAATTTTCCAACTGTTTATGCATAGTTACCTGTCCTTCTGGATTGTGGCTTAGAGAGGATTCAATTTCCAAAGGAGTATCTGAGCTCTGAGATTTTATACTAGGTGCTTGCTGAAAGAAAACGAACACACATCAAAAACTGAATTCTTACATGGTGTTCACAATGTTAGGAACAATGATCTTTATGTTGCAACAAAATGCAAACTAAACTGATGCAATTTGCCAGATAAGAAATCAGTGCAAGCCTCTGGAATGTAACAAAACTAGCAAAATCATCACCTTCTAAACAACCTACCAAATCCCCAGGCCTAAGCCTTCCATCCATATCCTTTTCTTTGACTGTTTTCTCTTCTTTCACGTTCTTAGAAACAACAGGTTTAGACAATGGAGAATTAATTCCTCCTATTTTATTATTCTGAATCAAATGATGGCCAGTATCCCGGAACAAGCTAAATAAACATTTGGTCTGAAAAGAAACAACAAAAAAATGCAATGAATCACAGGCAAATGAGACAGATTTGAAAGAAACATATTATTCTTTAACATCATTCAGTTTTCTAGATAATCTCAACATTGTAGAATCAGAGGGAGATAGGGGAAATGAAAAACTTTATTGATTGCCATACTTGTTGAACAGGTAAAACCGTCATAGAAAGTTAGCTGCCTACCCTATTATTTAAATTATTATGAGGTGGGACTCCTGGGTAGCTCAGACCGCTATGCATCTGCTTTCAGCTCAGGTCATGATCCCAGGGTCCTGGGAATGAGTCCCATGTTAGGCTCCTTGCTCAGTGGGGAGCCTGCTTCTCCCTCTGCCTGCCGCTTCCCCTGCTTGTGTGCTCTCTCTCTGACAAATAAATAAAATCTTAAATTATTATGAGGAAACCTTTCAACCTTGCCTGATTTTGGTGTTTCATAACTCTTATTCCCAGAAAGCTTTTAATCTTTGATACACAATTTCAGATTATTTCTGTATAAGAAATATTATCTAATTACTACTGGCTTATCAAGTATAATTGGAAAAATAAGGCAGGTTTAAAATTCAAACTAAAAACTTTGTATGAGAAAATTGAAACTTTAGGTAAATGACTGGGAAAAAAATCTCGTAACAATTTTTTAATTAAACAACATGGGTAAAATCTAAATACAATTTATGCTGAGTGAAAGAAGCCAGACCAAAAAACAAAGAGGGGGAAGAGTGGAGGGAGGTATGAGAGGATAATAGGGGAGACAAGAAAACTTTGGTGGGGGGCAGGTAATGGATATTTACATTATCTTGATTACAGTGATAGTTTCACTGATATACTATAAATAGTCACATATATGTCTTTGTATAAATGCAGGTTTTCAGTTCTCTTGGGTAAGTTCCTAAAAATGATTTTCTGGGTTAAGCTAAGTTAGTGTTTAACATAGATTTTCTGTATAGTTTTTCTACCAAGTATTGAGATCGAAATATTGAAATTTCTAAATGTTCCTCAGATTACCTATTTCTCCTTTCAGTTCTGTTGGATTTTGCTTCAAGTACTATGAGGTTCTGTTGTTAGGTATGTATACATTTATAAGGTATATATTTATTATATACAATACTTTGTAAATTCTATCTTCCTAATTAGTTGACTCTTTAATCATTCTGACATGCCATTCTATGTTAGTAATACTTCCTTGAAGTCTCTTTTGTCTGATATAAATATAGCCACTCTGCTGTTACATTTTCCATTTGCATGGTCTATCTTTTCCATCTTTTTACTACAATTTATGTGTATCTGAATCTAAGTGTGTTTTTACACAGAATTATATTGAATCTTGATTTTTAAAAATCTGGTCTTGTAATCTCTATCCTTTCATTGGGGTGTTTAATGCTACTTACATATAAAGTTATTGTTGAAGTATTTACATGTATGTTTGCCATTTTGCTATTTGCTTTCTATATCTTGTCTTTTTTGTTCCTCTCCTCTTCCTTTAAGTGCCTTCTTTTATGTTAAATATTTATGATGCTCCCATTTAATTCCTCTGTTTATATATATATATTTATTTATATACACATATGTATTTGTGTATGTATATGTACACGCACACATGATTTTCTTAGACATCCTAACTAATCACAATCTATATCACATTGATACTAACTTAATTCTGATATAATGTAGAAACTTTAGTGCACTGTAGTTCCATACTATCCTCCCTCCTTTATGCTATCATTATCACATAAATTAAATCTATATATGTTATAAACCCAATATAAGTAATGCTTTATATAATGTCTTTCAAAGAAATTAAGAGTAAAAGTGAAAAATATATTTCTAAAATCTTTTATATTAACTTAAATTTACCATTTTTAGTGCTTTTTGTTTCTTCTGGTGGATTCATGTTAGCAATTGGTGCTCTATCCTTTCCAGCTGAAGAACTTCCTTTAGTGTTTCTTCCAAGACAAGTTAGTTAGTAACAAATTCTTTCAATATTTTTTTATCCTGGGATGTCTTTATTTCGCCTTCATTTTTGATTGCTAGAGTTTTCTTTTTTAGTTTTTGATGTAGTGTTCCATGATTCATTGTTTGTTCATAACACCCAGTGCTCCATGCAGAATGTGCCCTCTTTAATATCCATCACCAGGCTAACCCATCCCCCTACCCTCCTCCCCTCTAGAACCCTCAGTTTGTTTTTCAGAGTCCATCATCTCTCATGGTTCGTCTCGCCCTCTGACTTACTCCCCTTCATTCTTCCTCTCCTGCTATCTTCTTCTTTTTCTTTTTTCTTAAAATATGTTGCATTATTTGTTTCAGAAGTACAGATCGTGATTCAACAGTCTTGCACAATTCACAGCGCTCATCGTAGCACATACCCTCCCCAATGTCTATCACCCAGCCACCCCATCCCTCCCACCCCCAACCACTCCAGCAACACTCAGTTTGTTTCCTGAGATTAAGAATTCCTCATATCAGTGAGGTCATATGATACACGTCTTTCTCTGATTGACTTATTTCACTCAGCATAACACCCTCCAGTTCCATCCACGTCGTTGCAAATGGCAAGATCTCATTCCTTTTGATGGCTGCATAATATTCCATTGTGTATATATACCACATCATCTTTATCCATTCATCTGTCGATGGACATCTTGGCTCTTTCCACAGTTTGGCTATTGTGGACATTGCTGCTATAAACATTGGGGTGCACGTACCCCTTTGGGTCCCTACATTTGTATCTTTGTGGTAAATACCCAGTAGTGCAATTGCTGGATCGAATGGTAGCTCTAATTTTAACTGTTTGAGGAACCTCCATACTGTTTTCCAGAGGGGTTGGATTGCTAGAGTTTTCATTCAGCACTTTGAATATATTATTCCATTGCATTCTGGATTCCATTGTTTCAGATGAAAAATCAGCTGTTAACTACATTGGTGCTCCCCTATAACCAATGAGTTGTTTTTCTCCTGTTGAATTCATGATTTTTCTCTTTGTCTTTTAACAGTTCACTACAATGTCCATATTGTAGATCTTTGTACGCTTATCCTACTGGGGATTCTCTGAACTTCTTGGATATGTAGATTAATGTATTCATCAAACATGGGACATTTCCTGGAGGGAGAGGAGCAAGATGGTGGAGGAGCAGAAGACCTAAATTTCCTCTGGCCCCAGGAATTCAGCTAGTTATCAAATCATTCTGAACACCTACAAACTAAACAGGGGTTTGAAGAAAAGAATAGTAGCAATTCTATGAACAGAAAAGTGACAACTTTCTGGAAGGTAGGACAGGTGGAGAAGTGAATCTCAGGTGATAATATGGGAATACAGACCCCAGGGGGGTGGGGGGGTGGGGGAGGGACCCTCCGTCAGCCGGCTACCGGCAAGTGATAGAACAGTGGAGCACAAAATTGGAACTTTTAGAAGTCTGCTCCACTGAGGGACGTCACTCCAGTGGCTAAGCAGGGGGTGGGGGGGTGGGTGTGGAACCCTCACTGGGACAGTGTGGTCTCAGGACCCTCGGGGTCACAGAAAGACCAGGGGTGCCTGAGTGTGGCAGAGCTCCCAGGTATTGGAACGGGGAAGCCGGCTGCAAAGATGGAGCCAAGGAGTGGGCTCGCAGCTCGGGGTTGCCATAAACCGTGATTCGTGGCACAGTCGGACCACTGCTCTTTGAGCAGGGACCCAACAGGTGGCAGAACCAGGGAGTCTTCCCTTCTTCCCCCGGGGAGGAGCGGTGCGGGAGCGCACCACAGGAATCTGCTGGGTTTGGAGACTACAAACGGGGTTGGGTGCCAGAGATAGAAACGTTTGGTCACAGGCCAGGTGAGCTCAGAGTGAGGCTGGAGACCAGGGAGACAGGAGTAACTGACTGCTTTTCTCTGGGGGCTCACTCAGGAGTGGGGCCCTGAGTTCTTGGCTTTTCTGGGGCCAGAGATTGGGAAGCCTCCATTTTCATTCTCCTCCTCCAAAGCTGTATGGAAAACTTTCAGGGAACAAAAGCTACCGAGAGCAAACCTGAGCAGATTACTTAGCCTGGCCCCTGACAAGGGCAGTGCAATTCCACCTGGGGCAAAGACATTTGAGAATCACTGCAACAGGCCCCTCCCCGAGAAGATCAGCAAGAACATCCAGCCAAGACCCAGTTACTGATTAATGAGAACTGTAAAACTCCAGTGCTAGGGGAATACAGCACATAGAATTCATGGCTTTTTTCCCATGATTATTTAGTCTTTCAAAGTTAATTTTTTTTTAATTTTTTTATTGTTATGTTAATCACCATATATTACATCATTAGTTTTTGGTGTTTCAAAGTTAATTTTTAAAATTTTCTTTATTTTTTCTTTTTCTATTTCTTTTTTTTTATTTTCTTCTTTCTTTTTTCAACCAACATCTTATCAATTCCTTTTTAAAATTTTTTAAAAAGATTTTATTTATTTGACAGAGAGAGAGACAGCATGAGAGGGAACACAAGCAGGGGGAGTGGGAGAGGGAGAAGCACGCTTCCCGCTGAGCAGGGAGTCTGATGTGGGACTCGATCCCAGGACCCTGGGATCATGACCTGAGCTGAATGCAGATGCTTAATGACCAAGCCATCCAGGTGCCCCTTAAAAAATCTTTTTTAGTTTTCATTTTTACAGTCAAATTCTATCCCTTCATTGTATTTAACCTTATTTTTATATATATATAAGTTTTTCTTTCTTTAAAATTTTGGGATACAGTTTCTTCTAACAGACGAAAATATACCCTAAATCCAGTGTATGGCTTTGTTCTAGTCTCCCAACTGATCACATTCTCTCTTTTTTTTTTTTAATTTTTCTTCTTTCTGTTTTCAACCAACTTATCTTATCAATTGCTTTTTTAAAATCTTTTTTATTTTTCATCTTTACAGTCATCCCATTCCATCCCTTCATCATATTTACCATTATTTTGGTATATATATATAAGTTTTTCTTTCTTTAAAATTTTGGGGGGCAGTTTCTTTTAACAGACAAAAAAAAAAAA